TGAACGCAACCTATTCAGAGAAACTGACGGCTGATGAGCTGTGCAGACATTTTCAAGTCGATTATATCTGTTTAATTTTGAGATTTGTCACTAAATTACATAATTTGTGTCTAAATGCATCAGTAACAGCTTAAATATATTTGATACAACACATAAATTCAGCCATTATGTATGTTATAATGTTGCAGGAATTATTTGACGGTACAAATATATATTGTTTGTTCAATTAATGTTTAGAAAAAGTGAGCACACTGTGTGGAATTTCTCACATTTCTGCCTAAATTAGTTTGACAGTAACATTAGACAATATTTGAAGAAAGAAAAGAACTTCCACAAGGAGACGGCGCATGAGGTGCCAAACACATACGCACATACTTTCCCTTTTGACGAGCTGCCATTTAGTGAGTACTAAAGAGCAAAATAAGACAGGACAATGACCCCTGCCTCTGATTGTAGTTTCACGTGCGTTTCAGATAGCACAGTTTTGTGTTAAATATCCTGTGGTATCACTTACGGAGCGCGCATGTGAAGTCATGCGGTAGTTGCAAATGTAAATAATGGTACATGGCAAATCATCTCCTTTACCTACTATTAGAAGTACCAGACGCTGATATTTTATTGTCACAAACTCATGTTTTTGTCTTAAAGCATAGCGATAGCGGGTTAGCTCAAGCTTCATCATTGTTTTGTTTAGTTACACTGCAGTCTGGAAAGAGGAGAGCCGACATGCGCAGAGGGATACAGCCGAGCATTTCATCCAGAGCGGTTTTGTAGCCACGAATTACATTTAAAACTCGGTTTAGAGCGGCGCTATACTGTGGAGTTTTCACCAGATTATCTACTGTAAGAAAGTCTGAAATCTACGTTTGATCGGCCCCTCTGATCGGCGCATTTCACCAATCACCGATCACAAAAATTAGGCCGTGATCGACCAATCATGATTGGTGACAGATCAGATCGGTGCACCTTTAATTCATACCATACAGGTCCAGCTGCTTTAGCCAGCTCATGTTCATTCATGTCCAACTGAAGTTTTCCAGTGACCATTCCATCCAGAGGGCTGGGGGAATGTCATATGGTCAGATGTTTGTGAAGGCTCTCATTCATCCAGGGAGTGTCCATCTTATAAAAAGGTTAAATCATCGCCAGAACTGGGTTTTGGTAAAGTTGAGTGATATTGAAAACAATTTGAATAGACATTTTTGGCAGTTTTGGTTCTCTCCTTCTGGAAGGAACCTGGGTCTTTTTAGTTTTTAGTCCAGTTTGGGTAAAAGTGTTCTTTTATGACTTTAAGAGCTCTGAAGAAGCTTGTGTCACTAAAAGCGAAACATCCTCAACTTTACCAAAACCCAGTCCAGTAGATGATTTAACCTTTTCCACATGATTGTAGATTATTCTATGGTCAAATGAGACCAAAATGTTTTTTAAATAATCTGCATATGCTGACTTTTAGCATATGCAGAGGATGAAGAGGATTTGGTGATACTACTACTCTTAATGATAGACATATCAGCATAAGGTACGGTACTTTTTTTATACCCTGAAAAAGAAAAGATTGGAAATTTTACCTGTAGATCTGAAATCAAGTCTCCTGGCTTCTCCCCCATGTATTCAATTAGGCCTCGGATTACGACTTCCCTCCTCTTTTCTATAGCAGCGGTTGGATCCTACGAAACAACATAGAAATAAAAAACACCACGAATTAGGAAGTATTCAGCACTTCTTATCTTGAATATGTTTTCATATTTCTGATTGTGTTCATTTAGATATAAAAACTTATATAATGACAAATGATGGAAAATCTCCTCTCTTGTTGCCAAGGACTCACCGCAAATCTTGCAGGGCACACTCATTTATGCTCTAAATTACAGAAACAAAATCAGTGTGGCCCATACCAAACAGTATCACATGCAAGTATTGTAATGTATTGTAAATACAAGGGATGCAAGAAGACCGAAGATAATTTGTTTGAAGTGTATCAAGCGAATAAAAATATCTAAGATCGCTTGACAGCCCTTATTCATATTCAAAATATTATTTAACAATGAGCATTACAGTAAAAAAAACTCCAGACCCAAAAACGTTTACACCATTGAGTCACTTTAAAGCAGTTAAGATAAAATGTTTTACATTACAAAAAGCAGAAACAAGTCTGGAGCAGGATCCAACCAATGTATAATGACCCCCCCCCAAAAAACTATTGCATCCCTAGCGAGTACATTACATTCACTTAATTTATTAACAGTTCTTTTTGTATCACACTTACCTCCTGCTGTAGCTTTCCTCCATCAATTGGCAGCAGTGAAAGGAAAAATCTAAAATAAAATAAAATAAAATTAATAAACATGCTTAAAAATACTCTTCATTGGACAAATATCATAAGCATTTAAACAGGCGGTGCTGCTTTTTACATATAAAAAATGCATTAGATTAGTACAAACAAAGTGCTTTGTGCATTTTGCGTTACTACACGTGATTCCACAAAAAACATGCTATACCACAACATGTACCTGTCTTTAGCTGAATGTATTACCTTGTCAGGACTTGACATTAAGTGCTTTGAGGTACTTGAAGTGGCAGGTATTTTTTACTTGCCCGGAAACAAAACCTACTTGTCCAGCAAAATATCGTTTATTTCAAAATTAACATGCCAAAATGTTGTTCATATGAAATGCGAATGTAAGTCACATTAGATTTTTAACATTTCCACTCTAATTTTGTGACTGCAATAGGCTATAGCAGTCACCCTCAGTATGTTCTTTTAAAAATGCATGTTTATAATGTATCACTTATACTTTGTTTGGGTTTTTTAAATGTGCTGCAGATTTCTGAATGTATTTGAACTTATCATAACTAACCATATAGCTGCACATTGGCTAAAACAGACAGGCCTTGATATAATACAGTGATGCTGATGCGGACGGGTCATAACATTAACAACATGCAGTAGCTGTTAACTTAACGTTAGTTTTCTGCTGAAACAAGCTACTTTCTGACCGCGAGGAAATCAGAGCGATCTCAGATAGCAATAAACATGTTTTCTGCCTCCGCACCATGCTCTGCACCTGTCTCCTCCTTGAGAGTCGCTCCGCTGAGCTAATGTAACTAGGGACTTCTGCGGGGAAATGAACTGTCCCCAAGGGTAGAAAATAATAGAAGATTAATAAATGTCACGTGGCTTCTGTTGCCAACTGTATTTTCCACTTGCACCTCCGGCAACAAGACAGAGCAGGACAGTAGCGACTTTGGTCTACTTATGTTAGCTGCGTACCGTTAGCAACAGCTAGCTAGAAGCTAGCAGCTCCAAACTGCGAAAACTACGCCTGTTATTATGGTTCAGAACATTTAAGGGGTAGTTGGTAATGTTACGAGTCTTAACACAAATCACTTTGCTAAACAACGAAAATTGTAGGACCATTATACTGGCACAGTTTTATGCTAACAACATGTTTGGGGCTAGAGTAGACAGTTAACATGAAGTAATTTTGGACACGAACTGCCAAGAAAATAAAACGACGATTTGACCACAGATTGTATATATTTGATCAAATACGCGACAAACCTTACAGAGAAAGCACCATATATTTAAAAAATCTTACTTTGAGTTGGATCTCACGGGAAACCACACGACCGTGTCCAAGGCTGGCTCAGCGCCCATCACCAACAACAAGCTCGCGGAAACGGTCCGAACCGGAAGCAAACTCCCGCCCAGTAGAAATTACTTTGTCTGAACACTTATTGATAGCGTCAGATTTAAGAAGCACTGCACTGCCAACAATATTTTTTCAAAATTTAGTTAAATACACACACAAAACGTATTTGTGGGTATATTGTTTTTGTTTTAGTAAATGGAAATTATTTTTCTAATACTAAAACCATAAGAATAAATTTTAAGTCCGAAATTGCAAATACAAGTACTTAGGTTCAAAGTTGCGCTTGCAACACTTTTCTCAGTGTGCAGTAGTTTTAATGTCTGCGGGTTATTCCAGAGACTGGCCAATGTAACCCTGCTCACAAGTGCCACCTGGTGGTTGTTTTGGTCATTGCAACGTCACTGGGAGGGGGGAAATAAAAGACGCGTGAATCACACGAGACTCACGTGTGATTCACGCGTGAAAGGCGACAAAACGGAATGGGACCTACTGTACAGCAGTTTTTACCCAGCATACTTGTTTATTATTTTCTAGAGTAGATTTCGTTAGATATTGTAAAACATATAATAACACACAATTCTTAGTCCCATTATCGTGTTTAATGGCCAAAAATATTGCTATACATTTATTGCTATATTACTATTCATTATTATTTATTTGTATTCATGTTTTTGGCACAAGGGGAGGATAGCGGGGGAAACGGATGAAAAAATAAAATATTGCTTTTCTGTATGTAACATGAAAGGAGTGTGAGCTAATCAAGACAACACGATAAAGTAAAAAGGAAAACAAAACTAAGCAGAATAATTATTACTTTATAACTATTTTATTATTATAAGAAACTTCTCTCTTTTTGACTGGGGATCACAGGAGAACAAAACTGGCTAGAAACCAACTTTTTTTTGTAGAAGAAAGTAACTAGTCCAGTCTTTCAGAATCTACATTTCACATAATTAGTTATCGCACACCCTTTTCTGTGGGTCTTGAAAATCAACAACGGCTGGCAGTCAATGAGTTGATAGTGCGAAAATATGATCGAGAAAAATAAATCGTGTCTTGGTATGCTGTAAGTAACAAGAAATTATGTGTGATTCAAGAACAACAATAAAGTAACAAAATAAAATACTGAATATTTCTTTAAACTTTCTGTGCTTTCTCCTCTGCTCTTTCCGCCTCAGAGTGCCCTGACTTTTCCCTTTATGATTAAGTTGTAGTGATTGTGTGTTTGAGCAGTGCAGACTTGTCCATTTGGCGTGAAAGTAGCAGTAGCGCGGAGCTCGTCTCGCATGTGGCTGAAGTCTGGTGTTTGTTCCAGGGGCCGCGTTCGGGCGCCTGGTGGGTGAGAGCATGGCAGCCTGGTTCCCAGATGGCATTCACATGGACGGCAACATCTACAACATTGTCCCTGGAGGCTACGCCGTCGTGGGTAAGTCAGGGACGTGATCGTGTTTTTAGCAACAACTCCCAGAGCAGTACATTTGGCGGATTATAGTTTGGAAAGCATGTGGGGTCTTCCAAACTTTTTGTATCTATATCTGTATCTATATGTAGTTTACCAATCAATCAAAATCCATCACATTTTATCCATGGAGCCCTTCACAACACTCAAGGTGACCAAAGCGCTTAACAAAGTGCTCACAAAAATTGTATTAAAACATTATGCAAAAAAAAGGTTGAAAAGCATTAAAACGAAGTGTATTTCTTCCTCCAGAACAGAGCAAGTGCGAGTTACCATAGCAACACACTGTTTACTGTTTGTAGTTGCCATTTGGTCACTTCTCATCCAACTGTTTTTAATCACAAGTTTTTACTCACTTTTATCGCTTAAGTCTTTACTCACTTATTAGAAATGAGTAAACGTAAACTAACTTTTTGCGGAATTTCTCAGAAGTCTATTGGTTCGAATGAGGGCAGTCAAAATGGCGGCTCTGGGAGTTCTCGTAGTTTCAACTATCTCAAGTCTGAAAAATACAAAATTCCCTAAATAAATAACTTATAAATGTTGCATACAAACCCCCAACGTGCTGTTTTATGGATCAATTAGTCTATCGTACAGGAGTAAGTCTACACTGCAAAAAATGAACTTAATATTAGGTAATAATGGCTAGAATCGAGTGGTTTTTGAGTAGATTCAAAGCAAACATTTTCCAATGGGACAAAGCAATTTAGTCTTATTTCGAGAACTGTTGCTTTATTTTCTCATTCCAAGGGAGACATTTCTTGTATCTTTTTAAAACAAGGACATTTTGCTTAGTCCCATTGGAAAATCTTGTTTTAAGGCACATTTTACCAAATTTGAACAACTTTTTACTAATTTCCCATCACTTGCAGTGTTCTGTTGTTTTACACCATCCCATATCGCAACACTCCAAACGTAAAGTAAAAAAATTAGAATCTCTGTCTGTGCTTCTGTCTTCCGTCTCTTTTAACAATCTCGTCTGCAGCCGCTCTGATTAAACTGGATCCTCCGTCTTGGTGCTGTTGTTTTGTTGTATCGCTGATGACTAAGGCCTTTCTCAATCCTTGCATCTTTCATGTGGAGCGCGCTTTAAGCACTAAATGTCAGACCGGAGAAGCAGATGCCATCTTAATTAAAATACAGGGAAGAACAATGGTTTCGCCGCCTCCATCACGCGCCCATTTCTCCCTGACTTGATTATAGACTTTCTCTTCCAGTGGTATTGAACTCATCTGTTTCCAGCAATCACTTGTTCTCCCTGTGTGCCTCTTGTATTGCCGTTTTGGAGTTGCCTTTCTGAAGGGAAAGAGATGCGGAAATATTGAAGTTCCATGGGATGAAATTAAGCGAAAAGCAGAGTGTGTGCTTTATCAGTTTAAGAAGAAGTGAAGTGATATTGAGTTGAAGGGTGCGGTCAAGAATTGCGTCGCCTTTTGCGATGTTGAGGCACATATTGCTTATTTTGATTGCATTTATACGGAGTTGTTCTCACTCTAGATGTATTATATCCGATGAGAAGCGATATGATTCTGCCTCATCTGATTTGTTTGATATAGAATTGCCCACGTTCATAAATGGCAGGCTTGAAGTGGAAAGTCATGTGTTTTATAAATAAGATTCCTGATCTGTGGAGGGGGATAACACTCACTCTCACAAGAAGTTAAATGGATCACTTATACAATTAATGAATGTATATGTTTATTTAAGAGTTTTGTTTTTTTTTTTTTCCATGGCAAAAACGGTTCTCATCTTGATCACAAATGGACAAATGAATGGCCACTTCATGTCCCTGACGTAATAACTCTTTAGTAAGATGCATGTTTTGTACAAATAATGGAATATGTAACCGCTTGCTTAGACGACCTAACTATAGGCTGGTTATTAGATATAGACCCATAGTGTTTTCAGAATGCGGAAGAAGAGCCGATTTGAGCATTCGATAGCTGAAGCCAATATCCTTTAACTACATCTGTAAATACAGATGTTCTATGTTACGACGGGGTGACCTGCGTGATGTAGCAGGGGCAGATGCAAACAATTGTAGCCTGGTCATACCACACCATAGTACAAATTACATTTCATACTAAGGTCTGGAGCATAGACTGTATATATTAACGGACAAAGTCACGCCTATCTCCGCCATTCTAACTAATGGGCCAAAAAATTTGCTCTACTGGAGCTATCCAAAATGGCCGCGAGTGGTCCCGCTTACAAGAAAATTGTGAAAAAACGCATCTGCGCATGCGTCAGCCGGCGCAACTCCATTCATTTGAACGATAGACTTTAGAAATTCACAGCAGGTAAACTAGAATGGTCCAAAAAAATTCACCCCCCTCAGCATTGACACACATGTGGAACGGAGCTTTGGGCCAAGAGACAACTTTTGGTCCATCCTGTAAAGACTTTTTCGAGAGGTGCTATATGTTAGCATTGGCTAATTCTTCTTCTGGGTCCACCCCCATCGGCCCGGGGTGGTATTGCAAGCATGTCAGCGCACGTCATTTTGGCCACTTTTGAGCTGGGACCCGCCCCCACTGGTCTGGAGGTGCTCCATTGAGCTCAGTTAACAGGTGGGAGGGGTTAACTCCTTTTGCAATTGAAACGATTGGATCTGAGTTTACCGTGACATATGTAATATGCCCGAGTGAGTCGTTAGCATTTAGCATTTAGCCTAACCATCTCCTTTGCCGCTAACGGAGCCCGTGGGGATTAGCGCCACAATTTTTCCAGTGATTACATTTTCTAAACATTCCTATTGCTCCGGCTTCATTCTCTTGATAGAACCAGACCGGATTACTTTACTATTGCATTTTTCGCCATTGCTAAACTACAACCTTCCCGTTCGACGCAAACTCTTGACGTCACCCACATCTAACTACAACACCCGCCTTCCGCGCTCTCTGAATGGTCGGCCGAAATACGACCGATTGTAATCGCAAACACAGGGACTAGACCCAGACGTTACATGCAGGAAATGATGATTGAACGGAGTGTACGGATGGCTTATGGTGCTTTCAGACCGGATCATGCGTTGCGTCGGGTTTCAATGCAAAGTCTATGGTGGCGCGCGTTCGACCGTCACAACGCACGGACCTCTCGGCACGAACGGACTGTTCAATAATGACGCACGGACTTGGCAGGAAAGTGAAAAGGGAGGAGCAGGAGCGAAAAATCAACGCCCACAGGAGATGGATTCTGCTCATCCTTTCCTTGGGACGTTCGTGCGACAACCAATCAGAGAGCAGCAAAGTGGTCACGGGGACATTAGCGGACTGAGCGAGCAGACTGAAAATACCCAAACAGCAAAAACAGGACCCACACCAGACTTCACCAGAACTCAAACCAGGGTTGACGATGGGAGACTGTGTGCTTGTGAATATATGCGTTGTCATGCTCCCGTGACCTTATGCAACTGCTTCGAGTGTGTTCGCCGATGCGTAAATTCCGTTTAATAATATGAAAACACGTATGGCGCACCTCCGTGAACACGTACTGCTGTTATATAAAGCCCGTGGAATGTCTGTGAGCAAAGACACGCTGCAAAGCTGCATATTGGAGAAGATCTGTACACAAGAAGCCGCTAGCATAGCTCTGTTAGCATCAAAGCCGGTGTTCTGCCGAAAAGTGACGCTCTGCCAAAAAGTGACGCTTATGTAATGCTCAGCTGTTAATGATGTAATGCAAACCTGCGCGCATGCGCGTCTCACGGCAGCCGAAACAAACCAAGATGGCGGACAGAAAGTCGGAGAATTGCTTTAAAAGTTATAATACGAACGAAATAAGACACGAATGTCACTTTTAATGCAATTTGAGGCGAGATGTTGATGGTTCCGTGTTGGCACATGTGGGTTTTAAGAGTCAAACTTTCGGGTAAAGTTTAGTTTAAGCAGTCAACTCTGCCTGTGAAACCACAAAGCTAATGTTATGATAGCATTCCTCGGCTGCGGACGCAGGCTGATGACGCGTCCTGTGGCAACTCTACAGTTTACTATGTTGATATGGGATTATTAACGATTGTATTGTAATGTATCCATACCGAATAACAAGATTACACATGTTACATTCGATTAATTTTATATTTTTTATGTAGCTACAGAAACACCATCACATTACATATGAACAGAGGACAGTTTAATTATAAATACACATTTCCAACACTACTAATCCCAATAATTTGTGTAGTATACAACCACATGTCACAAGATTGATAGAGGTATATCTTGATGTCACACTGTTGTGTTCTGAAATGTTGTTACCTCTGACTTTCCAATATTTTGATTTTAGAACCCTTGTTTGAATAGTAATTAAAAATAAATGCATAGATAACCAGGGACTTTGCACCATAGCCTCAGATGTAGAGCAAAACCAAAATTATGATTCTGAAAAGCACAAGGTAAAACAAAGACCAGAAACCACTGTTGCAACATGGTACATTTTATAAAAATACAATTACTCTGACATGTGTGGCCAACACTTTTTTCTATTGATTACATTTATTACATGCTACCAAAGGCGCTTTTTTGTTGGTGCAATCAAAATGTGTGAAGTCGCCGCACATACAACACTGCACCTATCCAAAATAAGTAAACTTTAGTCATTCCAGAAACACATGCTGTAGGGTTATAAGAGGAAAATACCTTTTCATCTCCACTTAAGTGGAAACAACACACACCACAGTAGTCATCTTCACCTACAAATAAACACAATGTTTCAGTCTCAGTTTTGTTGATTAACCCAGGTATAACATTTCAAAAGTAAGGACGATAATAACCTCCTCGCTGAAGCAGCGTACATGCCACTTCCAGACACGCTGCAGCAATAAAGTTGTAGTTTGTGCACACAGCATCCAAATGGCCCTGGAGGAACCATGCCTCGGCAAACTATATATACAGCTAATAGGACATGTCACTATGCCTTCAAAGAAGAATAAATAATTACAGAATCACCTTTAAAATAAAAAATGCCAC